AAACAGGGCTTTTTTCTAGTCCAGGGAAAATACTGGAAATTCCGAACCTGAACCGAATCCAGCACTAGTTTTGGGTGACAGTGAATTGCCTGCCATCTCTTGAATATCCGACGACTTGATCGTTGCTAGTGTTTCAAGTTCTGCTTTTACAAACTTTTCTGCAAGTTATATATGTTAAGAAAATGTTCACGAAATTTGAATATCTAACAGCAATATTAATTGGCAGAAAAATCAAAATTTGCATAATAAAATGAAATTTCAACCTTGACGGACAGTCCATGGTGAACCAACCGTCAGAGATTCTTTGGAAATGATTGAATTTGTAGATACATTGCTAAGCAATAAATCTGCAGAAAAAATTGGTCCCTCACTGCAATCACTTTTGTGGGTGTCTGAAGCAACTAGTAATGAGTGTTTTGCAGTGCTAACTGCTTCCTTGTCAAAATTTTTAATTGCAACACGATCATCAGTAGTATTTGGCTGTGAATAGAACAGATCTTTCAAGCCGGGACTCGCATAGAGCTTAGTTTGCTTTTGTTGTTCTTCGAATGACTGATTGATCATCGCAACCTGAAAATCCGGAATTAATAGAGATTACGTGCCTGGAAATTGTACACCTCACGAAACAGAAAATACTTCACTACATGGTATTAAAAAGAACACGTACTTCAAGGTCGTCTGCATCAGGTGGATTACTTCCAGCATCACAAAGATATATGTTAGAAGACTTTGTTAAACTTGAACCAGCAGATACACGTCCAGAATCTGCATTAGGACTCTGACAAGTCATCAGTGGACTAGACAAATTCCGTTCTAATTTAAGGTGCAGTTCCTGTAAAACAATCTCATCTCCAAATCAAACAGCAACAGTTCATCTAACTTCGAAAACAAATTACTTTCAAAATTTAAAAACACACGCACTTTTGATTCGAAATCATCGTAAGAGGTCGGCAGATTGTCCAAAACATGAGCAAATTCGGCATCTTCAACATCACCATTATAGATGTCCCACTTGTCAACAGATTGCTCTTGTAAGCCTGAAAAACCAGCTTCCACTGGTTCCACCTGAACATCTGACTGCAGTGCAACAAAAGAAATAATAGGAAGAGACGAAATTATGTATATCATTGAAAATCATATAAAGTCGCTTTTGATTTTTCCAACGATAAATAAGATACTTATCACGTCTTAATTAGAATGGGGAAAAGTTCCGAATTATTGAAGACCACATCTATAAGCGGAATGAATGAACGGAATGATTTGATTGTTTATATAGAAGCGATATCACCAAAATGTCGTCCAAACTTAAACATCTTTTCGACAAAGCCCATAGTAATTTAACAGTACTGAAGACGGATAAAAAAAGAAAAACTAAACCCAGAATTGACAGGACAAATTAGAATCTGTTTCCCAATACCACTTTTAATGCAAGCATGAAAAGTAAACTAACCATATGTACTACTAATAGTTGTTTCAATAAAGCGTTTTGCGGCTCGTCTGACGTCTTCAAGATTTGGTGTGCAAATATCGTCTTTCTGGAGCTGCAGCTTTTCAGTATTTTGGCAAGGTGGAAAATTTTGCCCAAAGCTTGTAGCAGGCAGTTGCTTCACGACGTTGCCAGACGGAAGCTGCTGCCCGGTTGACGCGAAGTCTTTCTCACCACTCCTTCGAAATAATCGCAAGGTTAAACGTGTTGAAGAGAATTCTGAATTACACATAACTAGAATGAAAACTTGAACAGAAATGTGTAATCCGATAAACGAGTACCTGAATGGCATGAAACTTCGAAAGATGAGAGAGAGATGAAACCAACCTGCTCTGCTGACCGGTGAAAAACCCATCTCCTTGAGCGAACGAACCATAGTCAGTCATGCTCGCCCCTCTTCGCGAAACCCCGCATACAGCCGTACAAGACGGTTCGCGACCTGATAATGCATTACACCAAATCATTATCAAAATTACTAATAATATGCTATAGATTAAATCCATCAGCACAAAGTGGCTTACTGTTATTAAATAATATTAATACTATTACTATTTACATGCACAGCATATGTCATTTAGATTCGACTAGCTAAGCAGAACAGTGGATATTATTCGAACTCTATATGTGGACAGAAAAATAAAACAATGCGACAGATCATAAACATTACTGCTAATCTCACAAAAACGAAATGACGGAAATTACTTGAACCCTCCAATTCATCTAAACGTTTCATAACGACCGTAAAAATTTGAATAACTCCTCCGGCAAGATTGCAACGAAGATGAACGCAGTCGCGCAAACGCTCGTCATACCTTCCCCTCCCCTAACCGCGGGACTCATCTGGGGACATCGGAGAATGTCGCGGTACCAAACGATGATATGATTCATACCAGACAGTCAGAGTAAAAGTGAACGAGGAAGAAAAGTGATGGTAGACAGAAAAGGAACGAAGGAATTGTACGGGTAACGGCAGACTTCAATTTTCACAGCGTCTCGACTGCCACAGTGTTGCATACAATCATTTTGAGACCGCTTATGATTGGCGCATTTAATCTGATGAGGTCAGAACGGAAGAAAGGTCAGGAGGAAGAGGTTGGCTGTGGTCGTGAGCGTTGTGTTCATGTCTCATTTGTCCTGCTTGTGTCAAGTGACATTCAATAAGATGTTACGCGAATGCGAAAACCGATGTGATAGCCAAAACAAAATAAATCTGCATTTATAATTAGGCCGAGGTTCACGATCGGACTCATTCTTGAACTTTTTATGTACACCATCAAGCTTAGAGTTGAGAAGTTTTTTCTTCAAGCAGAATTGTATAAGTTTGAATAGAAAGCTTTCAGGCTTAATTTGTACTTTTCAATATGAGCTTTAATTCTTCAGGCAACTTCAAGTCTAACTAAAAATCTTTTTTTTGGAAAATATTACTCAGTCTCTGAAAATGCTTCAGTATTCCTCAATGAAGACGGAAATTTTCATACATTCAAAACCCGAAGGATTTACTTGGATTGAGTTATAGATCATTTGTTTTTACAGTTTCTGAAAAGTTTCACTTTCGTTAAATTATAGATTAATTTCTAAGTTGGAAAATTTTAACACATCGTTGAACTCATTTCAGATGAATGTTTAAGAATATTTGGGCCAAAAACAAACTCCAAATACTGGAAACTATATGTCAGGGAGCCTTCGATTTCACCATTGTCTTTCACTATAAATAGCATAACTTCATAGCTGTCCAATAGTAGAATGAGTTGCAACCAATTGATTGTGCTAATAATTTTAGCTTTGAGATAAGGGTCTAAGTTCAAACCTTTATCCCTTGCAGTTTTGCTTTATTTTTCGTTTCTTTCCATTTTTAGACAAACGCGGAACGAAAAGCTAAGATTGGACTGAGTAGGACAAATATATAACAATTTCGTCTCATGCCCAAAGCTATTTCTTCAGCAATTGCTCCATAATGACCACAAGTTACATACAGTAGCATTCCACTACTGAACTGTAAAGATCATAATATAAGGATGGCATGATGAAGGTATGGTGATAATACAAAGTATGATAAAAGATTATGCAGTAAAGTGATTTTAAAATTACTACATTAATATGATGAGTGACAAGATGAATTTTGCGATGTTCTAATTTTTAGACTACTTCTCTCTTAGGTGCTGTAGGCTGCTCTGTGAATTTGTTCCCCGACTCGAAGCTTTTCGAGAACAGTTGGTTCATTATCATGAATTGGTTTTTATTTAGGCAAAGCGAAAACTTCGGATGTTTTATGAAAACTTTTTTTATAGACATATTATTCAATTAGATTGCATTAAAGAATTTTGCTAATTTTTTTTTATCAAAAGCTTCCTATTGCGCGCAAATATTGTTCAACTGATTTTTGGGATTATTTATTTCCGCGAAGGAAAAAACGCTCCCTAAGAGAAAGCATTTTGAAAGATTTCCAGACTTTCTCTTAGTAGTATTTAGCCATCAAAGAACACCTTCACTGCTACAAAACGGATATTTGTAAGAGAATAACTTGATGATTAGTTTTGTTTTTCTGACTTTGTGGATATTACTGACTGCATGAGATTAAAGGATAATCAAATTTTTATATTCATGCATTCTCGATTTTTTTTTTGCTGTCCTTGAATTTCATATAAGCTTCTGACAAATAAAACATTGTTTTTCTCGAAATGATGAGTATTCCCAGCTTGCAATCAGGAACAAATTAACATTTATCATAGCAAAAGTAAAACTGGAAGATGAACGAGGAATAAAGAAATGAAACAGAATAATGAACCACTTCTTTATATTTTTTGGCTTGCATAAAATTAGGTTGTAATGATGCATGATGCAAATATTGCAGCTTTGGTGATAGTTTTTGGCAAATGAAGGAAAAGGAGTGAATAATATGTCCGGAAGATGATATTAAATTATGAATGAAAGGATATAATGAGAAGATGCCACTAAACTCATTCGTATTTCACTGCTTTTCGTAGCATTCCTTAAAAAGATAGGCCTCTCATTCACTTCCTCTTGTACTTTATTTCTTCATGTATTATTGCAACTGTTGAAAACTGACGCGAAATGTATGAAGATGATATCTTTTTGAAAGGTTGAAATGGAGCTTGGATTGCTGCTGTAGTGATGTGGGGAAAAACAAATTGTAGGCATTATTTTAAATGACGGAAAATCGTCAAATGCGAAATGGAATCGTTTGAGAGGAAGAGAGTTAGATATGGTTCGTTGAGGACAACTTTTATTTCACAACCTTATTTAAGCTTTCCAGCTCTACTCACATTTCCAGTTAGGCATCAGATTTGTTTACCCACAAATATGTAATTTTATCAGCATGCCTGCTAGTGGCTCGGGATTGGATTTTGGCAATGTGTCATCTCATTTCTTAAAGACATTCTACTTAGAAATAAATTTCAGGATGACTAAAATGTAAAGGTATTTTGTTTTACAAGTGCTCTCCTCTTTTTCTTGACTCTTAAAACGCATTTGTCCTCTTCAGGTGATTTTTCGGATGCAATGTGTTGGTAGGCGAACATTATTTATAGTGACTGCAGCACTACTTTGGAGTTCAGTAAATGCAAGACGGATTTTCGCAATAGATTCAGAATGTACAAGCTGCTCCTACTATACCACTCATATTTGCATATCTCCCTTTCTATATAGCGAACATCTTGTTAACAGCATTGAGAAGCAGATATCTTCCAGGTTTCTTTGCTTCAACCTTCGTCTTTTCTCATCACTTCTTATTGTTCTTCCTTGATAATAACGAATAAATATGTAAATATATAGCTATACATATAAGGATAGAGAAAAAAAGGTTCATTCATACCCCTATAATGATTTCAGACTTGGAGTAGATGTACTAAGATTGATTTGAAAGATTTAATTTCAGATTTGAACCGTGTTTAAATGGAAGCAAACGAAAGACTGAGCAGCTTTTACGGTCGGCAGAAATTATGGGAAGAAGGTGATTTGAATAAATGAAATTATATAGATGTTGATTGAGAGTGTTAATTGATTCGTAGTTACCAGTCCTCTTTCTGTATTGGAAAAGAAAAGATGGAAATCATTTGCATTTGTTTCTCGAAATGTGATACTGCTAGAAAAGGCGTATGCACTGGATTAAATAATGGACTTTTTCTATTTGTAGAGGAACGGTGATTGTGGCGATGGTGGAATGCAGTTCAAGACAAAATTGGAACGAACTTGCAGAGACAGCAAGTGTGAAATGGGCAGATAAGTTATCGTGTCATTTTGACGCGCTGATTGTTCTATTTCATCAGTGGAAGCTTATTCCAGTTTTATCCATTCGTCGCAATTCCAGTACATTATGGCGTCAGCTGCAATTGCGATCTTACCAGGTCGTACTTCTTACAACTCTTATCACAAATTACTGTAATTTCCTTGCAGGCGATTAGGTTGTCCCTTTCTTCATCGAACAACTTGTTAGATATACGTTTAATTGAAGTGTTCAATTGAATAGATATTGTAAATGCTGAGAAAAACTGGAAGAGATATCTCCGCCACACAAATAGTACTGTTTCATCAGTAAATTCACAGTGAGCAATAAGAGACAGTTATTTAGCTATAAATAGGTTCCAGAGAGAGAATTGGATAGAGACAATTTAAAAATATGTCTCTTCAGCCAAATATTACATAAATCTGATAAATCTAGTACACGATATAGTGTATGTTTCTTGATGTCATCAGGTGCTCAAAAAGGAACGTTTTAAGGCACTGATTCTTCCTCACAATAATGCGGGAATAGGATGGGGAAAGAAAGGAGAATCTCATGATTCTCTTGCTTATCTGATTGGGATTTAGGCGTATATCTGGCCAAAACTACTTCCACATTCCGGTAGCGATCGCAGCAGCAGTGAAAGCAAGAGAGGTGACACAACATTCGATGGAATGTTGATGGTTAACATATTTCAAGTTTCATCAGCAGTGCGATTGCTACCCTGCTTAATTATAAAAAAACTAAAGCATGTTAAATCTGAGTTATTCAAATTATATTCTAACTTGAAAGCTTACCATTGAGGTGCATAGCCTTCGCGCTATACTGCTCTTGTTACCACGGCAACAGCAACTCCCTCGCCTACTATATTGCTACTATTACTACTAATATAAAATCACCATTATTATTACTATTTCTTACATTATTGCTATATAAAATCACTATTATTATTACTATTTCTAACATTATTGTTACTGCTAATGTGATGATTTTTTGACATAATTAACAAATATTAGATCCATTGTAAAGTAATATATTTCGCGTGCCCTTCTTCTGTTTTATTTTTCTTAATTTTTAAGATGCAGGCCTAAGCAGCCATGGTATTTCCAACTTAACACTGGTGATTTGAGATTGCATGCGACTCAAAGGATAACATCATCGAGCCCATCCATCGTTTCGACATTTTAATTCGCAGCCGCGATTTATAAAATACGCTAAAAGCAACAAGAATGAAATTAAATTTCCGGTTTCACGCCACATTTAAATGAGATTGTACAAAAAATTGTTGTGTATGGATTCATTAGCGAAGATTTGGCTTAAGACGGAAACAATCAAACACATTTTTACTGCTCAAAAGGTAGCCGGTAATCAGATGGAAGTTACAGTAATTGCGAGCAGTTTATAGTTACTTGTCTCACTATATCTGTTTTAAAGCTAATCGGTAACTGCATTTTGGACTTTTTAGAATAAAAGCAAATGTTAAACAGCACTATTGAAAAATTAAATTTATTAACGAAGAAATTAAGAAGGATTGGTGTCTAAAATTAAATTAATCTTCCGATAGCATGTTATCCATGATCTCGATGACATTGCTCTCGATGACATTTCTATCACAGTGCCCCAGAAACTCTTAACAATTGTCGTTGATATAATATCATAATTCATCATTACTTTTAAGTGTCCAAAAGCTGTGATTGTTATATTTGGATGAGGAAATGTTTGCGAGATAAAAGCATTCATTCATCTTGCAAGTTTGCGTGCATGTTATGTGTGCACAGAGCAAGTGAGATCAGCGATCTATCAATTACTTTTTAGTAGTAATTTAAAAGAAGAATAAAGTGATTATCCAATTCTTAATGCACCGACAGAAGTATGATAGGCAAAGAGGGAGTTGAGGAATCAATGGAGAAGTTTTCAAAGGCAAGGCGTAAAAAGGCCTAGCAGAGAAAAATGAAAGTAAATAGGGCCTGAGCTGTCTCTTCTTCTAGTGCTTTTTCAGTAAACTTGTTTAGCGTGCGTCATTAAAAATCATTCATTCACAAAATATATTCAGTTGATAAGAGTCAGTAATGACATTTTCAAAGCGGTGTAGTTGTCACGTTAATTTTAAGTATTGTGGTTGAATAGTTGTTAGCCAGCGTTAGAATTTAAAACAGAATTGTGAACTTTGATGCATAACGCGTATTTCTTTTATATGTCAACCTTACAGCTTCTTATTTTTTCTGCATAGCATTAATGCGCTTGAATGATGAAGGGCACTAGTAATTTCTTTTTGATCAATTATAACTTTGAAAAGAATGTGAATAAAACGATGACGTAAAAGAGAGATGGGTTTTCATTCTCTTACCAATCCTTGATTGCTTTTGCACTTTTCAATATTGAAGAATTAAGATTTGATTACTTGAGCTCTTCCAAAAACTGCCTGATTATGCAGCATAGCCTACTGAGAATAACAATAAAAAGTGAAACCTTACTGAAAGAATAAAAGAAGTCACTTCTGTCAGTAATATATTAGTTGAAAAACAATAACTAAAAGGAGGCTTATTGAATTTTCTGCTGCTGTAGGTGGAACTTCATGAACAGTTTATGAAATACACCATCCTTTTGTCGGCCAATGTGGCTTCAATTCACATAATAAACTGTTTTCGACTTTAGTTTATATTTATCAGTTTACATTTATTTTCAGTATTTCACGTTGCATATCGATGCTTAGTAGTATAAAATTAGAGTTGCGAAAAAACAAATATCACGTGGATCTGTTTGACCGCAAGATATGACAGTATAATCAGGATTCTTATTCCAGCTTAGAGGAAAGTACGAAAATGAAGAAGCTGAACAGCTGGTGGATGAATTATTAAGTATAATGGATGTGAAAGCAAGACAATCAGCAGTTTCTACTACAGGAGAAGGATCGAAGACTCGCGAACATGTACCGAACTGGGCCTTTATTGTTATCATCGTATCTATCTTGCTGTCTGCCGTGGCTTTCTATATTGGCACCTGCATCAACAAAAAGACATCCTGGAAGTAAAGTATACTCACTTTATTTGCTTCATTCTTTCCAAATGTGTTTGCAACGTGAAACTAAATATCAAGTGATTTTTGTTGCTTTTTTTTCATAACTTTCTAATTAATTAAAAAAAGCTTCCTGATTCCTATCATCAGCTAATTTGTTTGTCAAATATCAAGTCATGTATAATAATTTAACAATGCATGCAAAAGTTTTATTTTTATTGCAGTCAGTTTTTTCAGCATGCTTATACATCCTTTCTACCTATCATTTATTTAAAAATTTTCTTATCCTTACCGATCCTTCGGGTGTTTTAAGATGAAATTCTTAAGCAAATTATTGCTTTTACCCATTTTGCACGAAACTGAAGTTGAATGATCTATCTAAATCCTAAAAAAAAATACTGCAGCACTGTTTTAGCAACACTACTAGCGGTTTGAATTGATGTATGCTACTCTGTTGATAAAAAATTAACTATTCACAATACCTTGTTTCCACTAGTCAAAAAAAGAGCAGTGACATATTGTTCTGTTAACAGTGAAAATGATATTGATCTAAATTGTGAAAATATTATTCATTTCCTAATCTTTTATCCCAAATCAAAAGAATAAGCGGCAAAATGTTGAATTCTATGGCAAATGGCTTATATCTTGAAGTGCTCGTGTTTTAAAAAATAACAGATTCCATTGCAGGCCATTCAGTAATGGGAAGCCAAAATCAGAGGGAAAACGAAGACTGTGGGGTGCTGGATTCTCTGGTGGTATATGGGGTGCATCTTAAACTGTTATTGAAAGATCGTATAGCTGTCATTAGCTTGGAATGAGGAGCGGTGATGTCCTGAAATGAACTTGGAAGGAACGCAAAACAGCCAAATATCACCAAAAGATTCAAGACGATGTGACTGCATTCAAAGCATTCGATCAATGGATCGGCTTACTCACTTTATTGTTTCATTCTCCACTCGCATTATTGGTTGTTATATGTGATTTGATTGCCTTATTTTTCATAAATGGCCTTATGGGTTAGTTAGATGATCAATCCAAACGGTAAATTAGTTTCAACAAATTTGAGAACAAAACCAATAGTTGTTATGGGCCAGCAGTGCTAATGGCACCTTAGAACACTGGGTAACATTTATGTAGACATTAATTTGATGATTCTACTGGGATACTCCAATAAGTTGTAGAAATCTGGCTGTGAGAGCTGATTGGAAGAGAAACATTCTCGAGATTTAAGCCATCGTTTAGGAGTCGATATCTTCCGATTTCAATCTTAATTTTCGATATCTTCGCACATTTCTTACCACATTATCATTGCAACACTTGTCCAAAGATTTAGTGCTTAAGAATATCTCAAGGGGATGTAGCATGAGCAACAATTACTTGCTAAGTTGCAAAAACTTAATGACGACAAATATTTTCATTTCCTGTGGATGAAATCGTTGGTTATTTCCTAAAACTGAAAATGTTAGTGCGGATCATCAAGCAAGTGTTAAAGTAAATATTATTTCACACAAAATAATACAAAGAGTTACTGAATTAATTGAAAACGACTAAGTGCAATCTAAAGGATATCATAACTCATTCTTAGGTGGGCTAATTAGACACAGTACTCCAAGGCAATGAAACAACTTTTACTTAGAGATAAAATGTGACAATGAAAATAAGATTTTCATGTATTTCTTACTATTGTCCCAAAAGTCGCGAAATTTCAAGAATATTATAACTGGTCAAGTGTTTAAATATATAAATACACATATATTCATAGATGTAATATTAGTGTCTTAATACATCTTCATAGCGTCAATTATAATGTGCCCGTTTAAACCAATGGTACAGTCAAATGATTCATTTTGTACTTGCATATGCGTTCCCATCCTTGCCTCCAATTATTGTATTACATGATCTCCCCTGCTCTTATATCCTC